CTCCCCCTGCTTGTGTTCCCTTTCTTGCTGTCTCTCTCTCTGTCAAATAAATAAAATCTTTAAAATATATATATATATTTTTTTCTAATTTAAAATTATCAACACCTTTCACTTTTAAAGCTCTAAAAAGTGAAATGAAATGTAGTGCAGGTATTTGGGCCCAACGCCTAAGATTCTGGTTCACGGGTCCGGGATACAGCCTGGGGGCCTGCACCTATGACAGTCATCCCAGGTGATTCTGGTACAAAGCATCTGGGGCCCACATTTGAAGAAGTTCTGCCATCACTCAATTAGGATTAATTGCCATTCACATCTCCTGTGAAACTTTCACAGACAGGACCTCTGCTTGCGCCATTTTCTCTGCCTCCGATGCCCTTCTCAGCTGCTGGAGACCCTCCTTTGCCTGCAGAGCCCACTCCAACCCCCCAGATAATGAACTGCCTCTTCTTTTACTCAAAATGTGAATGTGTCTTTGTATGTTGTCTTCTTGGGTGTTTCTCTCCCCTCCGGACTTTGAAACCAAGAGCAAGGGGCCATATCTGATTCATCCCTGCCCTCCTCCCAGCTGGCACCATCCTCGCCCAAAGCCAGGAGCCCAGAAATATATGGGTACAACGGAGGCAGATGATCCTATGCCCCACCTCTGAGGAAATCAGAGCCCTATGTCCCTGCCACTTTGCTGAATCCCTCTGAAATACAGACTCCTGTTGGGTCATCTTGGATCACTGGACACAGTGGGAAGAAATTACTTCCTCTAAAGCAGTGATTCTCAACAGGAGCAATTTTGCCTCCTGAGGGGGGAAGAGTTGGTGATGTCTGGAGACATTTTTGCTTGTCATTGCTGGAGAGGTGCTACTGGTATCTAGTGGGTGGAGGCCAGGAACGCCAAACATCCTAGAATGCACAGGGCAGCCCCCCACATCGCACAATTATCCAACTTCAAAGTGTCAAAGTGCTGAGGTTGGGAAACCCTGCCCTAAAGCACTGGTCTGGCCAGTAATGAACAGCAACAGTTCAAGCATACCTGTCCGGTTCCCAACAGGAGACAGTATACCCTCAGTGGGTGTTTTGAAATTAAGAAAGGACTACTTAGAGAGGTGTGAGCAGAGTTATGGAACCAGAAAGGGAAGTTGAGGCACCCAAGTACTAGGGACAGCCTGAAGGATGGGGGTGAGGGAACGTCACTACAGCTGGAAGAGGGGCCATCCAATAGGAGCAGGGCTCACGGAGGGCCACACCATTGCTTGGAGAATTGCTTGACCTCTCTCCCTCTTCCCACCCTCCAGCCTCTTGCTGGTGACTTCCATCAGCCAAACATAGCCAGAAGCCAGGAAGCAAGGAAATACTGAGAGATACAATTGGCCTGGCCCCCCAGGGCAGAAAGTGGGGAGAGACAGAAGAAGGGAAAAGACGGGGAAGTTCAAATAGAAGTAATCAATATGCTAAGTATATCGGCCCCAGGTCTGAGTCCTGTCTGGGGCCCTGTTGAAAAGGAACATAATCTCTAAAGGTCAAGCAGAAATTCCCAGCACTCCGCTCCGGAGGAGGTCTCTTCTCTAGAAACCAGCCTGTGCTGTGGACATTGTGTCATGCTCCCCCATCATGAGCATGCCAATTGGAATTTTCTAGGAATCTCCTTGGCTCATTTGACTTTTGTCTCAACCAGATCTGGCACCACTCATTCTACAATGAGCTGCGGGTAGCACCTGAGGAACACCCCACCCTGCTGACAGAGGCCCCCCTAAATCCCAAGGCCAACAGGGAGAAGATGACCCAGGTAAGAGACCAGGAGCTCTTAAACATGGGTACAAGAATGCAGCATGGATCCCTTCTCTCTTTCATGCATCAGTACAACAACAATTTTTGAGGACATGCTACGTATGTAGTCTATGCCAGGCCCTGTGGGAGGTGGGAGCGGGGTAAAAAGGCACAGCCCTTGCCCTTAATAAGGTCACAAACCATCCTGGGGGCCAAGAGATGCTGTGATTTCTGCCAGATCATCCTTTATCCTGCATTGTCCTTTCAGATCATGTTTGAGACCTTCAATGTCCCTGCCATGTACGTCGCCATTCAAGCTGTGCTCTCTCTCTATGCTTCTGGCCGCACAACAGGTGAGCAGCCTGTAATCTGATCCCTTCCTGACTCTGGGGGGCAGAAGGGAAAGCTGGACTCCTGCAGAGGTTCCCGCTTAGGAGAATCAAAGGGACGGCCAAAGTCCACGGAAAACCCTGCATAGGGGTAACAGAAGGGAAGCCCATGTGGAATGCATTCAGGTCTACCCGGTAGAGCTGGCAAGAATTGATATGAGCAAAGCATGACTGGTACATCCAGCAGTATATATATAAGCTCAGTCCCCAAGCTTACACACACTTTCCAACAATACTGGGATGTTTCTGCTCATGAACCTGTGATGGTGGCTATATATGTGCCCTTGGTATGGAAAGGTGCTCAGGGAAACAGAGGGAACTTCAAGATAAAGCAATTTCTAATGGGGACTTGACAGCTTCCA